CACTAAAGGTTGGGGAGGAGGGCGCCATGCTCCAGGCAGTGCTGCAAGCCAGATGCCCTTGTCTCTACCCCTTCTGGGAGCAAGGAACATCCCATCCCACCTTGCCTAGGGGCCCATGGAGGCTATTGGCTCAACTATACATTAGTGATGCAGCTATGCTGTTGTAAGCTCTCTAGGGTAGCCACTGTAAGCCAATGGGAGAGCACACTCCTGTTGACTTAATCATTTCACTTCCAACCAGCGGCGGCAGCTGAACAGCTGGAGACACTTCCACTACGCTGGTGCGTAGATTGGTGTAACTTATGTCAGGCAGGGGTTGCCTTAGGGCAAGTTTGCACTACGTGAGAAAGTTGATCTAGGTATGAGCGGCGAGGAGTCCTGTGGCATGTTATAGACTAACTGAAGTGTTGGAGCATAAGCTTTCGTGGGCAAAGACCCACTTCGTCAGATGCATGTACTATTTCATGAGGTTGATAGATTTCCACTCCATATGGCTAAATGCAGTGTCTTGCATGGTGTCAGGTATCAGAGGGGTAGCTGTGTTAGTCTGAATCTGCAAAAATGATCTAGGTATGCAACTCCAGCTATGAGAATGGTGTAGTGGGAGTCAATATACCGTAAGTCAATTTTCTGCAGTGCCCCCACTTCAGGAAGTTGAAGGGATGAACTCTCTAATTGATGTCCCTTGTTCTTTGCGACCCTGTGGAAGACGAGCATCAACAGGGGCGCCGCCAGTGGTCAATTTAGTGGGTCCTTACTAGACCTGCTAAATCAAATCCTGAAAGACTGATCTCAGGAGTGTCGATCTTGGGGTAAGTGTAGACTTGATCTTATTTATGCCCTTTGCACATAAGTGGTAGTGCAAACATAGCTTACGATTTCACCTTGGGCGAGCTATCAGTTGCAAGAGCACCCCTGGCAGGAACATATCTTTTTCCCAGCCACAATGCACCTTCCTTGGGCTACCAGGGGGACATTGCACACTTAGACCCTCCAATCTGCCCTCCAACTTTAGCCTAAAGCCTCAATAAATAATGAGGGCAGGAATCTGGCGGGAAGTCTTATGAAAAATCTCATTCAGTGTCACTTGCGCTCTGGCATCTGGCTTGCAAAGGCAAATCCCTTCCTGCTCAGCTCTCGCCATTCATCACTTCCTCTGCAGGGAGAATGTCTCTGCTGTTTCGGGAGAGCTTTCCATAGGCTGAACAAAGTCCCGGGGTGTGGCACTAAGTTTTGGCAAAGCATGATATCATGGGCATTATACTGGAAGCTGCATTCAGTGCTGGCAGCACATAGGCACAGAAGAATCACCTGTGCCAACAGTGCTCAGTGCTAACTGGGCACTGGCTAGGCACATGTCCAATTAATAGCACAAGTTAGCGTCTAGTAGTTTGTCCCCACTTACTCTGGGCTGCCTGTGATTTTTCTGTCCCATGCCCAGTCAGTGAATCCTCCCAAAGATCATCTGTACTCCTCTTATCGCTGAATTCCCACCCCAGGAGTAGATCCGTATCGTCATCCTCATTTTGTTTCTGGGGACCCAAACACCAGAGAGGTGAAGCGTCTGGCCCAAGCATCACAGACACTGCTAGGACTAGAAACAAGGACTCCAATGCCAATTTCCCTGTTCTGTCTTCTGTACAAGAATGTTAAGACAGAGCCTCAGAGGGCTCCTATGTAAAGATGTATCTAACCTCATTGGACTTTCCACTAGGTGAACCACCTTTTATTTCATACTGTGAGACAATGACAAAAGTCAGTCGAGCTCTCCCACCTCTTTGCAAATCTACATGAAAGACAAGAAATAGAAGCTGTGTTTTTAAAGGTGTTTTGGGACCCCCTTGTCTTTTAATCAGGTTTAATTGCTGCTCTAGCTAGGAATCAAAGAAATTCGTGCTAGGAAGAGAAATCTATATTGTCCATTTGTGAATGTTGTTGCTTTTCTGGAATAAACAGAATCCTTCATCTGGCTACTATAATTGGTCCGTCTGTCTGATTTCCTCCTTGCTGCTGCCACATTTGTTGCAGGCCCTTGCAAACCGCTTGTAATTTTATGCAAACTACCTTCCGGGCAGCATCCCAACAGAGTTGTAGCTCTTCCACATAGTTCTACCAGTGCGTTAACATAAAACAGCAAGAGAGTTTCAAGAGCCGGCTGCCCTCTCTGCCCATCTGCACTGCCAGAGCTTTAGGGAAACAGAAAGGAGAACCCCTTAGGGACTAGGGAAAAGAGCTGTTCCTACAAGACTCAGGTGCACAAGCTTCCGCATTCTGGCGTCATGCCATTTAACAGCGGGTCATGCCAGCGTAGATTCCAAGCAAGAGGGGCCAGGTGGGTCCCAAAATGGTATGAGATTAAAGGGTCTGGTTCTTATCTCCCTTGAACTGATGTTTTGCATCTCACCTGCACCAGGGGATAGCAAGAAGACATGCAGCTGCCACTGTGGTTAGATCCATTCTCCAAGCCACAGAGGGCAGGTCCTGCATCTCAGTCCTCATGGAACAACTCAGAACGGCCAATTACGTGGCCTATGTTGGGAACCAGGCAAGGGCACCTTAACATGTCTGCAGTACCCACAGTGCTCCTCCCTGCCGTGTCACACTGGCCGGCAACTCATCTTTTCAGCGTGTTTAATGTGGATGAAGCTGTATCAGTCAATCAGGGTCAGTACGTCACTGATGAAGCATCCATTAGACTATGTGCTGGCTGGATAAACAAGCATCAATTTGCTCTCAGGGACATGGCCTCTAAGGACAGGCTAACAAATGGCCCTCCAATAACAGTCAGAGTACTGTTTAAGTCCACTAGGAAAGCCAGTTGAATCGCACGGAGTTGCAGCTGGATTGTTCTACCACAGTCTCCTATTCCTACCAGTAAGCAGGCTGCTTGGATTGCACTTCAATGGATGGGATTTTGCTTCTGAATTACATTTATAGCTGACAGGCTCTGTGCCTCCCCTCAGCTTCTTTTGAAAAAGGCTAGTCAGTGGAAAAAGCCATCTGGAAACAAAGAGGCTAGCCAAGAGCATAAAGAGAGCAGACACTTAAGGAAAGGAAACACACTTAGGGTACGTCTAGACTACTTTTTTTTCCCTGAAAGGAGAGATGCAAATTTGGCGCTAATTTGCATATCTTCTTCCAATCGCTTTTTCGAAAGCGGGTTTTTCGAAAGTGAAAGTAGGCGGGATGTAGTTTTTTTCGGAAAAAAACTTTTTTGAAAAAAACCCACTCTTCCTAAAAAAAGGAGGTTTACACGGTTTTTTGTCCAGACTACTTTCACTTTCGAAAAATCCACTTTTGAAAAAGTGATTGGAAGAAGATATGCCACATTTGCATATCTCCTTTCAAGAACACCCCCGTAGTCTAGATGTACCCGGGGAAACCACAACAAGCTCTTCAAAAACATCCCATTGCACCAGCACTGAATCCAGAATTAGGTAAGGATGCTTTGAATGGAACCCTTCCTTTTTCATGAGGTATTAGCATCTAATGTGAAACCCACTGAAGTCACCAGGCACCCTTCCATTGATTTCAATAAGTTCTGTTCCACATTATTTGGGGCGTGACATAAGGTTCAGAGGAATACACTTGTAGAGATACTTCTGCATGGGACCCAGATATAGCTGGGGACCCTGCCAGCTAAAGGGAAAAGCCCAGAGCTACACTAAGCAAGAGGCAGGAGCAAACTCTGGAGAATTAGGAGGCCCCACGGAATGGAATGGATTGCTGAATCTGAGAATGCAGGGGCAAAGACTGAAACAGGGTTAAAAAAGATGCATTCATGGAGCTTAGGCCCATCAATGGCTATTAGCCAGGATGGGCAGGAATGGTGTCCCTGGCCTCTGTGTGCCATAAGCTTGCAATGGGCAATAGGGGAGGGATCACTGGATGATCACCTGTTCTGTTCATTCCCTCTGAAGCACCTAACATTGACCATGGTGGGAAGACGGGCTCCTGGGCAAGATGGACCTTTGGTCTGACCACTATGGGCGTCCTTATGATTCTAATTACGAGCTAACTTGAAGGGGACAGTAAGCATGAGCTGTGATGGTTTGGTTGGGGGAAGGAAAGGTACTTTGGCAGAGTAAGATCCAGTTAAACTGCCCATCACAGGAGACTAACTTGGGGTACAACTACACTGCACACTTATTTCGAAATAAGCTGTTCCAAAAGAAATACTCTGAAATAGCTTATTTTGAAATAGACTAATTTTGAGGCATCCTTGTAGTATAGACGTGCTGAGGAAGGCTTCCCTAATGTGGACGTGCTACCTCAAATTAGAGCCCCAGGAGGCACTGGGGAGTAATTAGTTTGAATGGCCCTGGGGAAGAGCTATTTCGAAAAAGCAACAGTAGAGCATCCACACTACAGCTATTTCGAAATAACTCTTTCAGAATAGGCATTATTCCTCGTGGAATGAGGTTTACAGAAGTCAGAATAAGCTGCCCGTTATTTCGAATTTATTTCGAAATAATGAAATTGCTGTGTAGACGCTCGCATTGTTATTTCGAAATAATGCCAATTATTTCAAAATAACTGTGCTGTGTAAATGCACCTTTGCAGAATTCATGACCATGTCATTCTGTGAGACAGCAGTCGAGGGTGCCCAGAGAGAGATATCTTTGACAACCAAATTGATTATAATTAATTTATTTTGATTTTTACTGAATTGAAAACTTCAACAATAAATAAAATCTCAAAACATAAGTGACCCAGACTCCTTTCAATCAGAGACTGATTATAACAATCAATGCACTCCAAGGTAAAAGAAATAGGGAGAAGCATCTGAAGACACCTTTCCTCCCCCAAAAAAGTGCTCAAGAAATTCAGTTTGGTTAAAAAGAAATCATGCAATCAAGAGGTGCTTTGAAGATTTTGCATTGGTAGCAAATGCAGTTCAAGATTACGAAACTTTGTCACATGATTTAACATTATAACTTTAGTCACTATTCAGTTCCTAGCAGGAAAACAGATGCAAA